TAGCCGTATTCCGATATTCTTTAGGCTACCCTGATTACCGTCTTCTTCTTTCTATACCAATGTCATGTATTCGTGTTTGGACCCTTTCTCATGGTGTTCTTGCGTATTTATCCGTGAGCTTAAGATGTTAACTTGGCATCACATACTCTGCTATAGCACTGTTCCTTGGTTCGAGTTCGAGTACAAGTCTTGTTTTCGTAATAACTAGGAAGGATGTAAATGCATGCACTAGTTAGCAAAAATGGTAAATGACGTTTATTTTCTGATTCCCCTACCTGTTTGCTTGCTCGCGACGCCCAGTTTGCCCGGGGCAGGCTGCATGTCAACCACCAGCGGGCAGAGCGCCCCTGGAGGAAGCCCCGTCCGAGCGCCCTGCCCACATCCCGCCGAGGGCCCGTGAGCAGGCAAGGCTCGGCGGTTGCCCCCCTCCCCTCCCCGGCGCATGCACTCCTGCCACACCGTTATCTTTTCTTCTTCCCGTATCCCTGAAATGATCATTTCTGGTCAAAAGGGCTTGATATATTTGATCTATGGCGATCGATTTAGGTTGAACGAGAGCTGTAGATCTTAATGAGAGGAGGGCTGCGAAGTGCACCGAATGATCTTCAAGACAGCTATTTCAGTTCAAAACCCAATATAAATGTGGAACACTCCCCTTATATTCTGACACCCCATGGGCCATGCCGCATTCAAGGCCAAAAGATCGTAATCCACTTCAGACTTCAGGGCCGTTCAGATCTGGCGTTTGTGAGCACAATTTGCGCAATTTGATCACCAATGCCACTGGCTCGCAATAAACATTGAACAGACTGTGCAAGTTTCAATAATGAGTCACGCTTGGTCCTACATAATGTAAGAAGTTGAACCTGGTTGCTAGTTATTTCGGAAATGAGGCCTGCCATCGAATAACTTAAGAATGGCGTCGTGACCAAAGATATAAATGCAAGCAAACGTTGTAAAATCAAGCATGAATAGAAAAGAACATCTCGTGAAAGGACCAAAACACGAGCACATAACGATATTTGGCTCAGCAAACACTTGCAGCACCACCAGGTCTACCTCTCGGGATATCGAGGTGATGCAAGTGAGTGCTATGGTGGCGATTACCTACGGCCATTTTGGCTGCACCTCAAAGCGGGGGTGTAACTTTTTATTCAGTTGGGGAAGGAGGAGGATTCAGAGGTCTCCCTGCTGCCGCAGAGAGACTTCTCAGACTCACCTCGCTGCCGCGGGCAGTGCCTCGGTAGGGTCAAATCAAGGCGTCTCCTCAACTTGAAGAACGAAGTGGGCCACATGTAGGGATAAGCCTATTTGTTGTCATGCTTTGGCGGTAGGTTGGCTCATTTTTTACTGTTCAGGCATCCCTCCACCCACTTTGTTGAGGCCTTACGCCAGTGGCTCAACGTTAAACCATCGTTGTCCATGACGGTAATTAAAACAATGACGTATTGAGGGAGCATATTTTACTAGACAGAAGAATTTGTCTTTGTCTACTTCAGTCTGCTGTACTTGGAAAGATACAGGACAGTTGAAAGTAATATTGTTATATCATATCTGATGCTCTTTTCAATATCTATAAACATGAAATTTTCTGAAAGCTTGTGTATGCAAGCAGCAAAATTGTCAATATGTGCTCGTTATCCGTAAGCTTTTGCACACTCCTGTACGTTCTCTCCAAATCCCTTGCTCCAGTCCTGTCTTCGTCTGTGATAACGAGGCTGTCGCTGCCCGCAGGGAGACCTCTCAGACTCACCTCGCTGCCGCGGACAACGCCACGGTAGGGTCGAATCAAAGCGATCGCGGCTGTGTGGATGCTGTGCTGGCAGGCACGTACATACTATGCCGTCAGGCTGCTGTGTAACGCGGTGCAGCGTGGCAGCAGCCGAGGCTCTCCACAAGGCTGCGTCGTTTATAGTCCAATATGGTACAAACTCGGTGCGAATTTTAATCAACCAATGACGTACAGGGGGGGGGGGGGGAGGAAGCTTCGCAACATACGCTTAGGCTGAGCATGAAAAGTCGCCAACCCTAACCGAAAACCGACAAAAATGACTTTCTCCCCGGATTTGACCCCTTTTCCTCTCGAAGTTAGGTGGGGTGCCTCCCGAACGGAATAGGAAACTACACTCCTGTACACATCTTATATTCATCACCTGATAACCACCATGATAAAAAACGCGCCCGGGTGGCCGGCGAAATACCCTTAGCTCGGTTGTGGGCCAAAGTTGACCACTTCTGATATCTCAGAAACTAGGACAAGCGGGGGACACCAAATTCCAGGGTGTGTTGGCCTGTATGTGAACTCACTTATGTCGAAATTTTGCATTCTTTAGGTCATGAATTTTGGTCAAACAAGGTCAAAATTCAGACTTAATGTCCAAAATGCCCCCAGAACCCTGGCTCCTTATTCTAGCAAAAGTGTCACCGGTAATCAGTTTTAAGGTCAGTGGACCTTGTTTAACCTTAACCTGGTCATGGTTACAAAATTAATAACTACTGCTTGGAGTTTTGCATTTGAGTATGTGTCAAAGATTACGCTAGGCGGTATGCTCCTAAAAACAAAATTTTACCTGTCATTTTAAGTTAGTAACCTATTCTGACCATTCGAGAATTCATAGAGAATGTATTATGCGGTTTCTGTTATCAATAAATTCAAAATTAGCACCAGAAACTACCCCATACAGCAAGCTCTATAGTGATAAGGCAGGTTGTTTTTTACCCTAGTCTGACCTCCATACCTGACCCTAGGTCAGCGGAATCTGTTCATTCAAATGTTGTGTTGCCTAAGAAATTATCTCAGGAGTGTATGACTCCGTCCAACACCCCGTTATTGCATCAAATAAAACGGTTCCCTAGAAATTGTACTCGCTGAATCCATGGCCTGGTTTTGACGCACCGTAGGTCAGCGATCTTACAAGGCACATTGGCAGTTGTAATACTAAACGATCCGCTATTTAATTACTTACAGCATTGAAAGCTTAGCGTGACTACGTCGCGCCATTCGGAATCCATGCCGGCAAGATCTTCGGGTAGTCAAATTGGCCTCCTGAGCGCGTATTAACACGCGCTCGGGTGGGGGTCAGATTGACCTCCAAAGGTTTTTCCAAAATGGTTTCCGAACGACACGGTGTAGCCGCACCAAATTTTGCCTATCTGTAGACAATTAAATATCAGATCGCTTGGTATCACCAATTTAGATTTACCTTGTAAGGTCGCTTACCTATGGCAGGTCAAAACCAGGCCATGGTTTCAGCGAGGGCAATTTCTATGGAATCCCTCAATCTTATCCAACAACGGAGTGTAAGACGAAGCCAAACATCTCTGAGATGCTTTCGTAGGCAACAAAACATTTGATTGAGCAAATGAAATTGACCTAAGGTCAGGTATGAAGATCATACCAAGGTCAAAACCAAGATGTTTTGTTACTCTAGGTCTTGCTGTATGGGATAGTTTCTGGTGCTCATTTCGAGTTTATTGATAACAGGAACCGCATTATACATCTCCCATGGACTTCCTAGAGGTCAGAATAGGTCACTGACCTAAAATGACCCAGGTCAGCATTTTGTTTTCGGAACATATTTCCTACCGTAATCTTTGTCGCTTAGTCAAATGCAAAACACAAAGCAAAATTTTATTGTTTTGGTCACGTTGACCTCCAAATGGTCGAACAGCCTCACTGATCTTGAATGAGAGTGTGAAATTTCGCTTAGAAACGGCTATCTAGGTTCTGGCGGCACACTGGAGACCAACCTGGAACTTGACATTTTGTTACCTTTTTTGACCCGCAGGTCATGACCTAGGAACCTGAAACTTTGACCTAAGTTATTCACGTACAAGTAAATACACCCTGTAAATTTGGTGTCTCTAGCTTTCTTAGTTCCCGAGATCTTAGGGGGCCAAATTGACCCCCCTCTCCCCATCCGAGCGAAGGGTGTCTAGCCGGCCACCCGGGCGCGTGT